CGGCCCCAGGCGGCTGCTGCCGAGGGGTGCCCCCAGGGTGAGGAGGGAGCCTGGTGCCAGCCCCTCCGCCCCCCTGCGTCTCTTCCCCCCAGAACTGTTCTCCGGAGGCGGAGAGCCCGGGCCCGGGCGGGGACCCGGCCCAGCCGGCCCAGGCTTCTCCTCCCGCCGAGGACGGCAAACTCAAGCCTGGCGCGAAGCGGGTGACGTTTCCTTGCGACGAGGACATCGTGTCGGGGGCCGTGGAGCCCAAGGACCCCTGGAGGCACGGTAGGGTCCCAGGCTGCCGAACCCGGCTCCAGCGCGCGGCTGCTGCAGGCCCGTCGGAGGCTGCGTTCGTCTCCGTGGTTTGGTTCAACACACAGCGGGGCACGAGCTTCCCAAATTGTTTGTTAGAGCCGGAGACTTCGCCGGAGTGCTAGAAAACGTTGCAAGCGCTTTGTTCCTACACGGGACGATGCCGTTTGAGGCTTGTTTTAACTGGTGAAAAAACGGCCAGGTTTGTTTGTGGGGCCACGCGCAGGCTTTGTGCAGATGTGCCCAGTCGTGCGGCTTTAGCTGTCCCAAGTGAATGCCGAGCTGGTGTTTGCTGGCGGCGTGCTGAGCTTTTAAACAGAGGTGGATGTTTTATAAGTTGCATTCTTGCGTCCGGACAGAGTTGTCCAACTTCTGTTGTAACCGGTGGTTTGTAAGAATAAAACCCCTTTCTTAAGACCGCTCATGCCGGTCTCTCTCTCTCTCTCCCTGTTTTTCTTTATTTTGCTTAGCTCATTTGCAGAGAAGCAAACATCTCACTGACCTCCCAGCTTTATAATTATTGAACTCCGTCAATGCTACAAAAAGAGATACTGCTACCGTTATTAAAAGCCAGTGCACTTACCCAACAGCCACTGCTAATACCTCAGTTTTGTAAATTAGTTTGAAGTCATGTAAAGCTAATGTTACCTTCAAATAATGTGTTGCACGGTTTTAACTTTTAAAATAATTTTTATCAACTGGACGGTGTATACGATGTAGTCGGTGCCCTTACTGTTTGCTTCCTGCATGTGCTCGGTGTTAAAGGAATGTCGGTCTGTCTGACCAGGATTACTTCACCTCCTTGTTCTGGGAACGGATTTTGAGGGAAGCTGTTGAAGCAGAGGTGCAAAAGATCAGGGTGTTGCGTCTTAGAAACGGTGGCATTTTGAACCGGTTACAAAGAAGTTGTATTCTCTTCCTACTTTTGCTTTTTAAAAAGGAGTCTTTCTGAAACGCTCTTTACCTTTTCTGTTGTTGAACACTGACGGCCTCTGGCTAATAAACCTAGTGCTTGTGAAATACTGATTCATTTCCCCAAATTAAGTGGGACTGCTTGGTTTTTGATGTGCTCAGGTATGTTGTCCTGTGCTGCTTGTTACTGGGCATGCTCCGTGAGGGAAGTGCACCAAGCAGCGCCGCTTAGAGAAACTCTGTCAGCATTTCTAAATGTAGGTTTAACGAGAGAGGGGCAGAGACGGGTCATCCCGTACAGGGGTGGTACTAACAGTACTGAGTTCTGCTAATCTCTGTTGTGTTTGCAACCAAGAGGTGGATTGGTTCCTAATGGCCTGAAACTTTATTTCACCACATATGTAATCTTATTGACCTTCTTTGTATTCTTCTGCCATAGTATGGAGGAGAGAAATGTTGAAGACTTATTCTTCCCTAAATAAAAGTATTACTTGCCTTTTGAAAATTGGGTCAGATGCTAGGAGGGGATAATGATACTTCAGGCCTGAAGATATCTCTTGCTTTTCATAAATCTTGCTGTATTTACATAAATGTGAATGGGTAACTTGCCTTTTGAGTGACAAGCTTGCATTTACAGATGAAGTATTTAATTTCTTTAGTTACTGCAGCAGCAGGCATAATTATGAAGAACTGCAATGGGGGGGTGAGTAACGCAATGCTCTTAACATTCTTTTTACAACAACAATAATCAGTACATTTTAAGTGACTGTTCCTTTTAATTTACTGTGTATAATAACTGTATTCCTGGGAGTCATGTTAAAAGGAAGGTTTTGTTTCTGCTAACTTCTGTCATGCTCAGTAAAGTGGTGAACAGGAAACGGATGATGGTAGAGTACAGTAGAGCACGGGGTGGATGTATATGGAATGGCCAGCTGTTCATTTCCCCAGCTCTTGTCCTGGCATGGTTGGGTGGGCAGCACTGCGATAGGGATATGATGCTTGCATTGGTGCCACTGTACTGATAGCGAGGGACTAACAGTTAAGTTTAAAATGATGTCGGAGCATATGGTGCAAGAGACCTACTTAGGGTAGATAAGTTGTCTTTGTCTGGCTGAGCTCCTGACAGTCATGGGGCAGGTTGGAAACGCATGCTCCCTGTGTGTGTCAGGCACAGAGAGCCAGGTTCACAAAGCAATCCGGAGTGTTGCTGCACCAGGCTCTTGGGTGCCCAGCTCTAGGACTGTACAGCGAGTAGGGAATGTTGGATGCTTTAATCAAGGGTGAAATGCGTGAGGAGGCTTAGGGGCCAGGCCAGAACCCAGGACTCCTTCCTCCCAGAATAGTGCCCTCGTTACTGGTGAATCGTGCTCCTCTTGCTGCACCAACTGGCCTTCTGAATCTCGCGTTCCTTTCTGCACCACGGAGCAGCGTCAGTCAGGAGAGGTGGAACATGGCATGGCTCCCCCTCCAGAGTCGAGGGAGGTCTGAATTGGGGGGGTGTATCTTGATCCACCCTTGCTACCTGTTAGGAGGGTTTAGCTCTGCCTCTTCCAGAAGTTGCAGAGTAATGAAAGTGACAGTTCTTCTGGAGTTACTGCTGTGTGGGAGGTTCTGCCTTTATTGGCCAACGTCCCAACTATTCCCTGTCAGAAATCATAGGACTGTATCCTTCCTTAGCATTAGAAGGATGGTGAATCCTCTCTCAGTAGTGGGAGGAAGCGTGGGGAGTGAACAAGAACAGCATAAGGGAAACTCTAGAGCCCTGTCTTGATTAGGATCCAACCTGAAGTTGGGCTGGGCTTAGCAAATGCAAGCTGGCTAGGTCTGACCACTGTGCAGAAGTGGGATGATGTTTGACAAGTTGATGGCTTTAGCGCTGGTTCTAAAGGATCCCGTGGCACCCGGTAACGTGACTGAGCGCTGTGGTGTTTCCAGGTAATGAGCTAGCTGACTGGCATCTTTACCAAATGGTCACTGAACCAACAAAAAGGCAGTGCAATTTTAGGAAACAGTGAGGATTTTATAGAAAATCTGGCTATAGAAAAGGATCTTGGATCAAGTGATCATTAGGTGAGTCAGTTCATTTAAAACGGATGCAGAGACAGAGAGAGGTCTGTAACTAGGGTCCATGAGTTCAGAAAAGCAAACTTTCAGAAACTGCAGGAATTGGCTAGGGAGGGTGACTGGACTGAGGAGCTGGCAGATTTGAATGTGAATAAGGCATTGAATTACTTAAAGTCAACAGCATCAATTTTATCAGGAATTTGCATCACAAGTTAGAAGAAAAAACCTGGAAGGGAAGGGCTGTCACTCTGCTCTGCTTGGATAAATATGCCTTTTGGACAGGATGTGGAGAGCAAGTGGGGAACCTGCAAGGAACAGACAAAAGGGCCGAGAGACACGGAGAGCTGTGTCCTGTGGGCCATTGGGCCTTGTGAAGCTACCTTTATGAGAAGAGGGGATTGTTTAGTCTTGAGGGGTGTGAATAATGCCAGTAATATGTCCAGGGGTAAATGTTGGGGTAGGGAGAACTGTTTAATTTGACAGGTAGATCTGGTGTGGATGGAGCCTGCTGACACAGAGCAAGGGTAAGGGGAGCAGAGGCTACAGTTGGGGGGCGGGTGGGGGAATGAGGCAAGAGGATGGTGCGGTGTGGAGGGAGGGGGGAGGCAGCAGCTGCAGCTATGACCCCAACCCTGGGTAAGGGCAGCCTCCTGCCCCACCACCCTCGTACTCGATTCGAAGAGGGGCTTTTCCCCCTTGTTAAATGAGAGCCAGGGGCGTATGTTAAAAACGAGTACATGCAGCGTTTAATGCTGCGTTTGGCTCGTGATCAGACCTGAGGAAGAATGTCTTGTATTCAGAAGCTTGTCTAACTCGATCCCAACTACGTAGTTGACCCAATGAAAGAAATCAGCCTAAGAGATCCTTGCCTCTGGCATTGTCTCTGGACCGTCCTGGCTACATTGCTCTTACATTACCGTTTAAAAAGTGTCATGTCATCTTTTGTTGCTTTGGCTCATTGCTGAATGAGTAACTTGCTTATCTGTACATCTCCTGGATCTTTAATGTTTTGCCTTTCCTGCTTCCTCCACTCCTGGTCTTCTAGGAGCAGCTGTTTTTAAGTAGTAATGATGTTGAGAAATTCTTTTCCTCCTAGAGTGACTTTTCCTGTCTTTTGATTTTCTTCCCTCTTTCCACCCACTCCCCCTCCATAAGTACTTGATACCAAATTTACTTAAACTTTCTTAATTTATTCTTTTCATGACATTCTGAATTCTGCAGAAGGATCTTCTACTCTGAGGCATGGTGCAGAGTTTGTATGGGGCAGATTTTCCCTGCCCCTGTGACGCTTCCCTTTCTGGGTGGCTTGTCAGATTAGAGCATTTTTGTTTTAACTTAGATACATCAGCAAGAACAGAGAGATGTTTGATTTAGTAGATATGTAGGCAGACCCTATCCCTCTTGCCCATAATCAGGGACACTTGTGCTTTCCAGAACAGTGTGACCATTAACCAGCCTTTGTTTCCTTACTTTATTCTGTTTATGAATACCAAGATGTATCCACCCCAAGCTGTAAAGTTGTGCATCTGAAAAATGGCAGGTAGATGCCCAAACAGGCACTATCCGTGAGACTCTTCCACTACACTGGCAATAATGACCTTCTCTAAGCCAAGACAGTGGGGAAAATAGGTCTTTCCCTCCCACTGGGGGTCTTTACAGGGAAGCTCTGTAACCATATGGCCAGGGCCACTGAAAAGAGTAGTTTTAGGCATTTACTCTGTGTCTTCTGGACTGTCCCTGCACTATTGGGGAATACCAGGCTATCACCTTAGGTGTTTATATGAGAGGGTTGTACTGGTTTAACCAAGTAGGAAAGAGAGAGACTTGTGCTAAAAGAGCTGTCAAGTGTCCTTGAAGTGAAACAAGTAGCCGTAAGGCTTTTTTGTTCTCTCTTTGCTTGAGAATACCTGGTGGGCTTGTTTTCTGATCCCAGCCATTAAGATGTTCTCTAAGGTTAAAGGTTATCCCAGGAGATGTTCTCTTAAATGCCAGTTTGT